TTCAACAGCTTAAAAGTCATTGGAAACGTCGCTGTGCAACAACACTGAAACACATGAAACAACAACATGACGAAGAAGCATACAGGATGAAACTACGCATGCGCAACATCGAAAGACGAGCGACTATTATTGACAAGAAGCAGCACGAAAGTGAAGGTATACACGCATGCATTGCGCGCTTGTAGAGCTGCGTAAGTGATCTAGATTCTCAATGAGGATTGGTTTTAACAGTCAATTTTTGACTAACAGTCGAATTTTAACTCAAAAGAGCAAAAAACAAGTTATATATTTACATACAATTTAAGTTGTTTCAGATACGAAAAAACTCTGCCCTCAGACGGCTTACAACTGACTGCCAACTTTATCTATTTGCCTCAATCAGTGTTTTTCATGACTGCGGCGAGATTCCCTATATCACTATATATTGATTTTCTTGAACACTATATGTTGCTTAGTTTATTTATTTATGCGGTTAAAGTTTACTTCAGAAAATTCGAGACGCTTTTCAGGTAATTTAGAAAAGCTTTTCCTGACCATTTTTAGAGGCTCTTATAAATTTCGTGGAGACTCGACGAGCAACCCTCCAAAAAGAACTTATGGAAGCGGAAGAACTTCTCGCAAAACTCCGTATGAAGAAAGAGCATGAACTCATTAAATGGAAGGAAAAACACGAGAAGATGCTATCTCAAGATCTCGTCCGCAAAGACCGTGATGATTACATGGGAATGCGACGATGGTCGGACCCAAGCTCCTCAAGATACGCGGCTCGTTTGAAGAGTACGTGGAACCTGAGAAGTCAGCTGCAACAGTTAGGGGAGGAACTCTGGTAAAATGAAAATCATGAAAATAATCTATTTTAAAGTTAAAATGCGCAATCTTGAAAGACAGCCTTTTTATCGGAAGTGAGACAAAGATACGTTGAGCCTGCAGTGATATTATACCTGTGAACAATTGTTCATATAGGTGCAAATAAATGGTATCACTGGCAGCAGGCTCAACTCCTGTCTCGCCTTGAGTGTATGCAAATAAATGCTCGGAAATCTTTTGCATGATAGTAAATTTGAGATTTGCAAATGATTATGAATTTGAGATATTACCATGGAGCTGTCTTTCCCATCGAAAATGATGTGCCTTTTTTCTGATTTGATATCAAAAAACTTTCTTTTTAATATATAAACACGAGCTGGCGCGTACCAATATACAGTCAGTCCATTGACCTGGCTATACTAGTTAAGGCGCATGTAGTGCGCATGTTTTCGAGGTGGCTAACACTGAATAACAGCAAAATATATTATTGCAGGCGCACGAGTATTTTTTGGTAGCGTCCAAAAGCTTTTTTTACCTTTGCCCCAAAATACATCGTTATCCTGCGCACATCTGCAATATTTTTGAAAGCGCGAGCTCATCTCAAACATCGTTTTTCTAGCGCTCTCGTTATATTCTACTCATGCCTTATTGGATTGCATCCTCTTTCATTGTATGATTATTTAAAGTAAGAGGCTTAATGAAAAAAACCAGTCAATAATCCTTATGACCATTTTATAGGGAGGAACAATTGATCCTGAATACTATTAAGGTACGTCGTTTTCTACATTGATTGACGTTTATTTCATACTTAGCAAGCAAGGGTGAAAAAGGCAGGCTTAACACATTCAAAAATGCTTATCATATAATTATCTTATTTAATTATWTAATTATATGAAATACCTATACAGCTGTTTGCAATAATTCTGACCCCCCTACACTAATATTCACATATATCAAAATAGCCTTAGAAATTATGGGATACCATTGCTGATATTGTTTTTAGAAAGTACTCATTCTGGACAACTCAAAAAATATATCAGTCATGATATCCCATAATATTTAAGGTCAGTTTGATATATATGAAATATGGCAGAGGGGGTCAGAATTATTGCAAACAGCTGTATTTCTCTCTTTCGAAAAGTTGTTATTCCAACTAGTGAAAATAACACATTCGCGGTTTCTCCATATATTGCAAGTAAAAAAAAGTATTTTACGACATAATTTGCTTTCATATATAATTAATTGATAAACAGTTTATTACATTGTCGCTTGGAGATACGAATTTTATGTTCTCGTTTTGAAATCTTGTTGGAAAATTCGCTGCGCTCACTCGTGAGAGATCTTTTCGATACTCGAAAATAAAATCCGTATCTCCGCGCGCCCATGTAATATGCTCTATATGTAAAACACAAATTGCGTTGACATTCAACTTACTCATTGTTCATTGTACATCAAAGGAGAAAAAAGCTCAAAGAAAACAAGTGCGCACAATGATATGGAATGTCATCAACAACGCTTATGATATTGTGGAGCAGGAAAAACAAAGGAAAAATGCCCGACGGTACGTTTTCTCTGTTATTGAGACTGCAAGCCAAACCATAGAGAAAGAACGAGCTGAACAAAAAGAAAATCAGATAATTCGAGCTGCTCGAGAACTGGTGACAGCTTCGATTGCATACGCCCAGAGGCGCGTTGGCAAAGAGCTAGAGGTTCCTGAACCCATGCCACCAAAGTACACTTATGAAGACAGCCTTGACTTTTCGGTAAGGAGTGTCGTTCAAGACGCAATTGCAAAGGCTGTGGATTCTATGGAAAGATTGTATTATGAGGACTTTGACTATAACGAGGCCGCTACAAACTTGATGAGAGCGGCGATCTTTAGAGCGCAAGAATCTCTTGAGAATGTTTTCCGGATCACTCCCGCTCTAGAGGAGCAACTGAGTCGCGCGGCGTGGAAACTCGCAAACAATGCCATGCTTTCTGCTAGGACATCATTCGAGAGGCTCCACGAAGAAAACATCAAAACCGCTGCTCGTAAACTTGCGTCTAATGCAATCGTGTCGGCACAGAATTCGATAGACAGAATGGAACAACCAGAGCTTTGGAAAACAGCAGAGAAACTTGCTTTGGAAGCAATTGTTAGAGCTCAAAAGTCAATCCAAAAAGAAGACGAGGAGGAGTTTTTTGCAGAGCAACTTGCAAGAAGAGCTGTTTTAGAAGCCAAGTTGTCATTAGAAAGAGCAAATGAACTGGAACGAGTGTCGCTTGAGCTTGCGCGCAAAGCAATCGAAGGAACACATCAGTCTGCCCATACCTCTTACGTAGAAAAGGAAATGCAAGAGGCAAAAAATCTTGCTATTCTTGCTGCGGAGAGATCTATTGAAATGCTCAACAGTCAAGATGGTTTAAGTCCCAGGGAAAGTATTATCGCTAGTGAAGCAACAAACCTTGCCGTGGACGCCATTCGCTCTACCAAGGGTTCTTGGGAAGACCTGAAAAACGTTTATCGAGTGGACACCATAGATAAAAGTGAGATGATCAAAACTATCATGGMGTATGTTGAACGTATTATTGTGTCTGCCATTAGGCGACTTGAAGCAACCAACGAGATACAGTTTTTGCAAACAGGAAAAATTGATTCTGACGGCTACGTTGTCTTAGCACACAGTGATGCACAGATCTTAGATGAAGATCAGTCTTATGAATCTCTCAGCTCGCGAGGATCGGGAATCGGGATCAAGGCAAGGGAACTTGTCGACAATGCTTTTGCAAGTGCTGTTGRAATTATTACAACTGCGAAGTTTGCCTCTGTAGATGGTTCACCATCCTCTTTAGATTCAACTCTGAGCCCAAGATCCCGTCGAAGATCCTCCGTCCACTTTAACAATATGAACGTATTTGCAAATCGGCGTACAAGCTATGTACCCAGAGAGAGTGATTTCATGCCAGTTACAAATCGCCCTCCTACACCTCGTTTCTTGGGAAGAAAAACAGCWAGTGTTCAGTCGACGGAGTGGGAAGAAATAGAGAGAGAATTAAAATTAATAGAGGATGAAGATGATGTRCGTGTTTTATCAAGAMATGACGCAGACAGAAGACCTCCTCCGCGTCGATGCAGTTCTTTTCATAACATCCAAACACTGCCAAAAACTGTTGAGTTTAGGGTTCACCTGTCACTTTCAGATCCAAGCTGTAGACGCTCCTCTGGCACCAGTACCAGTGATAAAGACATTCCGAGAAGGCTTTTAATAAAGCAAGTAGACAGCACTAACGATGCTAAAGTATCAATAGCAGAATCAAGCGAACTTTGTGATCACGAGTCACAAATAATAATGAACCTTATGGCAGATGGTGAAAGCCTTCCTTGCGAAATAAGCTCTCAAGACTCTTCTTATGTAGTTCTACCCAAACTTAAATCAGAAGAAAAGGCTGTGATCAACACTAAAGTGAAACAAATGGAATTGCATCTTCCAGCAGTTTCGCCMACACCATCACTAGTTAGTAATGAAGACAGCACTTCTCTGATAAGYCAGACAAATGAAAGCGATGCAACAAGAAGGCAGAGTACATCACMAAGTAGTTCTCAAAAGCTACCAGATGTATCCAAGTCAGGTTCATTAGTAGTATCGCCAAGAGCATCGTACCGCCGAAGAACATCTTCTCCAAAAGAGACTCCGCAGCATACCAAGTCATCAACGGATGCATCTAAGATAACACCAAAGTCCTCTGGTGTTAAAAAGTCTTTTAGTGSAACAACTAAAGTGACTCCAAAACYATCTATGAATGCAGACAAAGTAGCTTCAAAGTCATCTACTGATGCAGCTAAAGCGTCTTCCAGATCAACTACTGGTGAGGTCAAGCCGACTCAAAAGTCATCTGTGGGCATGGTATCTTCTTCTGATTCAATCAAAATGACTCCAAAGGCATCGACTGAAGCAGCTGACAAATTGTCTCCCAAGACATCTACTGATTCAACCAAAGTACCTGCAAAGCCATCTACTGATGTAGCCAAAGTGACACCCAAGACATCTACTGATGCAATCAAAATGACTCCAAAGGCATCGACTGAAGCAGCTGACAAATTGTCTCCCAAGACATCTACTGATTCAACCAAAGTA